TACCAGAAATGTATTCCATCATTGTAAGATACCTAGTCTATGAATCTCAGACCAAATTTATTATTGAATATTTGAATTTAATATAATTTAAGTTAATTTTTTGTATATAAATTTTAAAATGATTCCAAGGTTGACGGAAAAATTGTCCACAATTTATAAAGTGAGTATTCTAAGTTGGAATCAATGTTATATATACCTAGACTGGCGATTCATTCATTAAAAGTGTACATCAATGCAAAATCAGCTGGAGACGCCATCTTGGTTACACTAATCATTATTAAAATTCAACGAGAGCCTAATTTTTTCTTATACCTGATGCAAACTTTATTAAAGAATTACCGGATCATCGAGATAATAAGGAAGCAAGTTATCAATTTAATAGTAGTTTTTAACATGAAAATAATTACTATATGAGTTACCAAAATGGCGTGTCCAGCTGATTTGCTTTTAACGACGCTTAAAAATGGATTTTAATGAATGAAACATCACGCTTAAAAAATCATTTAAAGTTGAAAAAAATTTACACATTGACGATTACATATATAACTCCACATAATAAATTTCCGTTTAATTCAAAAAGTAAATTATTTATTTTGTTTGATTAAGAAATAAACAATTATTCTATTTGAATAATTATAATAATTTAAATATTTGAATAATGATTTTGTGTTTTTTTTATTATTACAAATCTAATTAACTTGATCCACTAATCGAAATATTCAGTTAAGTGTCAACTCAGACAAACCTTATGTCTCGAATGTTCATTATATATATAGCAAAACTTTTATTGTGAAGACTATGGCGATTTAATGGCAAACACTTTTGAGCGAATTACATAACTTTGAATCCCTATCGCAAAGTCATTATCCAATAAAAAACTCAAGGAAAGACTTAGTGGGCTACTATTTAGTAATCCAAGGCCTTTTACTACAAAGTCATCATACCCCACTTATCCTTTCATGTAGGGTTGGAAAAATATAGAAAAAATGAGAGTACTTTTGTTTACGAAAAATAGAAGCAAAAAAGAGAAGAGTAGAGAAGAGAAGAGTTACAATTTTTTGATTATCAACTTTATTTTCCTATTACATCCGTTTCCATTCTCTATATCACTAAATTAAATTCTCTTTAAAAAAATAATTTTTTTTTTTTAAATTTAATTTTTTATTAAAATTTATATACAAATATGATAAAATATAATTATTTAAAAATTAAAATATAGAGAATATAATAAAATATGTCATAATATCAATTTAAGTTTAAAAAAATACAAACGTATATTTTTATAAAAAGAAAAAAAAAACATTTAAAAAAAAAAGAAATATCAAATGGCGAGGTCGGGCCATGATGTTTTAAATATTTGATAATTAGATCTAATTATAGATACGGCGATTTTCTGCTTGAGTTTGTGAAATGGAGAAAGGTATGAATTTTTTATTGATTTGGATATTGTTTTGAATAGATCTAAAGCCGCTTGTCCAAATGAGCAGGTTGATGTAGCTGCTATTGGAACAAAGTGGTTATTATCACACATTAGGTGTGAGTATTTTATATTTTTTTAGAGATTCGGCTCTGTTAAGGGGATCATGGGAATTATTAGATGGAGCCATGGGATCAATGCAGGTAAAATCCCACATTAAAGGCTTTCCCATGAAAAAGGTAAGACATTTTTGCCGCCAGGGCGTTTTTTATCTGAAAAGGATGTAGGTTCTAAAATACAGGGAAAATAAGAAGCTATTATTGCATTTATTTTATCATGTCGGCTGATTTTTGATATAATTTTACAGTTGAGAGCGTGTCTCCCATACGCGTCTGCCGATTGATTGCATTTATTGCAAATATAATGGTTAAGGAAAGGTATGCCCAAGCGTAAATTGATTGCATAACGAAAAGCGTCGTTATCTGTTAGCTGGTTATTTAAAATACTGGGATATGAATCTAACCATTCATGGCCAGATTTATTGAAATTAAGAGATCTTAGAAGGGATTTATATTGGTGATCATCGCTCAAGTTGAGGTAAGCTAAGGAACGAGATACCAATCCTTGATCCCAATCTTTTTGTTTCGTTGAATCTAGCGGGGCTGTGTTTGGTAAGACATTAATGTTCCAACAACGTAAGACTTCATCTAATAAATTATCTTTATCGATGGTAATAATTTGCGAGGTAATATTTCTTACTGATAAGGTTGATAAGATGAAGGAAACAAGGGCTATACTTAATGCCGATCTTAGGTCTAGTCCTCCGGATTTACAAGGAGAATTGCTTGAAGCCATGAGTTAGAATCGAGTTTGATGTTTAATAACTCTGTCATCATTTGTAGTATCTTTTGTTCATATTCTTTTAAAAGAATTTGAAAAGAGGCACCAGAAGTTTTAAACAATATTGGATTTGTGGTAATAAAAGGGCGTTTTTGAGAATATAGTATGCTTGATGGATGGGTAATTTTTTTAAGATCGATAGTTTAGGGAATAGTGATTGAAGATGATTATTTAAAAAATTAAAAACTCCCTCTGCACCTCCCAAGGGGCTCCTAATATACTGAAATCTTGTAAGGGTGTCCGTCTATAGTTAACTAATATGGTGTCTGTTGGAGGCGGAGAAGGATAAATTTCGATTTTATTTATATTTAAGGATAAATTAAGTTCATCAAAGTGTTTGTTGAATATATCTAGACAATTTTCTGGATTGAAGTAATGGACCCCGATATAGTACAATCGTCAAGGTACCAAACATGTAGATTGAGTTTGCATGAAAGACCATCACTTATTAGGTGTTTAAGGGTATAGCAAAAAAGTAGTGGTCCTAATAGGTCACCCTGTTGGAGGCCTCCTGCAGAATTAATAATATAATCATTAAATTTGAGTAAGGAAGAAATGCCATAGCTAAGATGGATGTAATTGTGGTAGTCAGGGAATGTTTCCAAGAGAGTAACGATCATTTTATTCCTAATAATTGAATTAAAGGCATTGGATATGTCTTATTTTGCTATATAATCTTCATTTTTGAGGTTGGATAAAACTAGTCGACTGCAATGGATTGCAGCTTCACATCCTCCTTTTACTCCAAACCCCACTTGGCAAGGAGCTAAGCTTAAGGTTATTGTAGATTTGAGTCGTAAACAAATAATTTTTGAAATAGTTCGTCTTGATTTTCAGCTTTTTAAAGTGCAATTAGTCGAGCATCAAAGATTATTAGTGCTAGTTTATGTGGTAATTTCCCGTTGATAATAAGATTAAAAATTTTCGTTAAAGAATTAAGTAGGAATTCGGAACTGTCTAAACCCAAGAGGTCAATAATAAATGAGGGTCGAAGGTAATCCAGCACTGGAGCAGAATCGTTTGGAAAAGATTTAATAGCGGTTAAGGCTTCTCCGGGAGTGATATTTATTTTTGAATTTATTATAGGCAGTATTTGAGGAGTGTATTTGGGGCTCGGAATGCCATTTTAGCACAATTATATCTTAGTATTTTAACGTTATAATTTTCTTACTTTAAAACAAATAAATATATTCCAGTTTTTAAAAAAAATATTTAGAGATTCCGCTGGTTTTATTTTTAATCTTTAACATTATGTAATGATGGGAGAAAAAATAGATTCTTTCATAATAACTAAATTAAACATATAGGGCTCGAATTGTTCTTACTGACACATCCAAAACCTTGAATATCATCGTTTTCTCTGAATTAGTTGACTTGCTATCAGGGAACATATATTCTTCCAGGACCAAAAAAGTGAAATTTCAAGGAACGAGGGTATATAGAAGAGGGAACGTTATTTTTTAAAAATAATTATACACAATAAGCTCCAAAATCTCCTAACAAGATTTGTCAAAGTATCGCGATACTTTTTAATGTATCGTCGTTTCGGTTCAATATATTTTATAGTTGTTAAAAAAAATTCTCTATTTTTTAATAAAAAAATTTCGAAATATTAAAAAAAACTATTTAATTTTTATATATATAAATTATTACAATTTAGAATAAAATAAATTATTTAAATATATTTTAAAATCTTTATTTTCAAATTCAATATTTAAAAAGATTATAGATTTTTGATTATAAAATATTAAAAATAGAATTGTTTAATTTATTTGATTAAATTAATTAATACGGGCTTATATCATTAGTTGAGAAATTACTTGATTGAAGGAATATGAATTATTGACGTTAAATTTGATGATATTTAGAGTTTATTTAACATTTTAAATTATAAATTTTATTAAAAGATACAAAATTAGAATACTTTTGGATAATTAAATTAAGAATAATATTTTAGATATGTGGGCATGAAAGGCAATTTAATATAATATTTTTTAGCTCAGAATTAATGTTTTTAATTACAATAATTATTTATTTGCAAATATTTCCATTAATTTATGACGAGTCTTAAAGACCCGAATACATGTGAGAGAGAAAATGAGCTGATATAAATAATAGTTAAGAAACTGGCAAACCTTCCCAGTTTCCCTTATAAAAGTTCCTGAAAAAATTGTAAAAAAACAATAGCACTTTTTTTTGATGAAAATGATTTAAATATCAAACAAAAAGCCTTGATAATATAAAAAAAAAATTTTTCCTAATATTAAACAATTATTTATTAAATACTCTCCATTCCTTTCAGCGCACGAGGTGAACGCTTATTCAGCCTAAGATGTTTCTCACTGTTAGAAGTGGATATCTCAATGTTTTGTTAGAATCTAGCAATAATATTTGTTGGTTAATATTTAATTATACATATGTACTTAATCATCACCTATACTTCAAACAAGTTAAATAAAAATGTAAATCAAATTTTATTCGGAAATGATATCTGAACTTTATTAATCTTGAAAAAAAAATCATCTCTTGAAGATTCTAGGTGGGAACAAGTAACTAAAAAATTGTATCTTAAGCCAAAGTTTTCTATGATTACAAAAGGAATCGATACATTCTTATCTCGAGGTAATAAAAGGTACGAATTTATTATTTTAACTCCAAAATGCATGATTTATATATATCACAAATATTTTTTGAGCGTTTTTAAACGAAATATAAAATATTTGTATTATTTTACATTGTATAGCGTATAATATATAAATTATTGTTAAAGCAATTTTTTTTTAAATATAAAAATAAAACAAACGACGAACGTTAGAACCCAATTAAACGTCAATAATATCTATAAAATAGTCATTCGCTAGCGATTAATCACGCAAAAATCCAATTCAAAAATTTCATCGTCAACTCGTAGCCCATGAAGCAAGCCTATTTTAAATTTATTTATTTAAATAAAAAAAAATAATATTAAATCATACGTTTATTTGTAGATATAATAATTTTTTAAAAAAATAATTCAGTTAAACTTTTCCAAAAAGTTACCATATCTTGGTAAACATACATTTTTTTTATCGTTCAAATCAATTATAAAACTGTTTTCAAACGAAAAAAAAAACAAACAAACAAATGTTATCATTTTGTTAAAATCATGTTTTTTTTAAAAAAAAAAACTATTTTAATAAATATATGTAATTTACGGCGTTAGCGGGAAAAGCTCTAAGCATAACGGGTCCGAAGCCCTTGTAAAAAGTGGATAGTTTAGCGAAACGACTTTGGCCCTTGGTCTCGGTAAAGATTTCGCTTATAACGGACCTCACGCCATTCGGATATTTACCTTCGGGAGCTAAATATCATCATTTAAAATAAATAAAATTTAAAAAAAACAAATATATATTTTTTTTGAAATATGAAATTTTGTTAGAAATAGTGTTGTTAAAATGGCTCCTTTGGCCAAAATAAAAATATTGCCTAAAACTTCAAAATTTTGCTAATATATGACTAGATCTTTGTGCCTTCTTCTAAGAACAAAATCTTTCGGCTTGCTTAATATTTTTCTGTATAAAATATTGAGTCAGCCGTTCGAGCCGTTTAACTGCACTAGTTAGAAATAATCTCTGTCCTCAAAGGAAACATCGTAGAGGAAATAATAGAATCCATCATGGAATTTCTCAACTTTTAAATCATTAAAAACGAGAACGATTTCTAAAATTTAAAAAAAAATTGATCTGACCGAAAATGCAGTCTGTAAAATTTCGGACAATTCTAGGAAACTTTTGAACTACTCTTTAATTTATATTTATTTTTTCCTAAACAAGACAAATAATATAGATATTGATTTTGAATGTTTTTCTTATTTACAATTTATTTAGTTCTAATTAGTGCTGTAAATGTTACTCAAAAAAGGAACGCGATACCGTTACTCGTTACCTTGTGAAAAAAGGACGCGCGTTACTGGCCATTCAAAAAAGTAACGCGTTACTTCAAAAATTAAATAATTTATTTTGTATAATACTTAGAATAATAAATAAAAATGTTATATTATAATAATAAATGAATTCAGGTTAAAATTTATTTTTAAAAAAAATTTCATTGTGATTACAGCATGTTGTCGTTTAAAATGACGATGATAATAGTATAGGATAATAGATATAGATAGAAAGAAATTTGTAATAATATTTATTATACGACTTGTTCAATAGCTAGTGTGATGTGAATAGGGGTTAGCAAAAAAAAAATTGAGAAGGTATATAATATATATGTATGAATTTAAGTATATTATTATATAAAAATATTTATAAAAAATTTTTTTTTGAATAAAAAATATTTGTGATAGTGATGTATAAGGTATACTACCATATAAAAATAATTTGCAAATTGGAGGTGCTGAACTAGGAGGGAAAAGGAGATAGGGAATCGTTTTTGACCCCTGTCCATAATGCAATTCTTCTACCCAATTGATTTAGGAACTTTAGGGATTGGAGATCGGGGTTTCCCAGAACGCTAAAAATTAGGGGAATAAATATAAAAGAGTTAGGGAGGAATCTATATTTATTAAACTTATTGACTTCTTGGAGTTCCGAGGGGTCGGTATTCTAGTTAGCCGGAAAAGAGGTAACACACGAAACATTCCAGACAAGTCTTTTGCCGCCGTGCCTAGACGTCAAAGACATGCCGTATAGACGCTTACCGTCCACATTTAGGAGACCTAATGGCTTCAACCTATTGGGGAAACCGGCCGAAATCAAGGCTTTGCCGATTAACCTATTAAGGTTGCCGTGCCTCAGAAAACGGCCACTGACTTTGAGACAAGAAAAACAATGTCTAGAGAAGGGATCAACCTGTTTGCGACAGGCAGCACAGGTGTCCACAGAAGGGATAAGGCAACCAAGCCTATGGCCAATGGCAGTTCGAAACTCATCGTTTGTGAGTAACGTTTCCGTTTTACCACTCGGAATCGCGTCTAGCCATTCATGGCCGCTAAAAAAAAATTTTGCGTTTCTGAGCAGTTGAAGGTTAATAAGATCGGGGCACAGACAAAGATTTTTAAATGCGCATTGAAGCATAGGGACCAGGAAGCTCTTTAGATGACTGGAAACTGGCTGCTCGGATCCTTGGATAGCTAGAGTAAGCCACTCTTGTTTAGCTAAAGATAAAAGGGGATCGTCCAACTCGATAAGCGAGGAAATAGAATCGTTAAAGGATATTCAAGATGAAAGAAAGCACGCTATTGCCATTAGGAAGGGGTAGGAGGTGAAAATCCAAGACCACCCCGGTAGGCGGGCATAGAAGCGAAGGATCAATTAAAATGCGAAAAATTTAAGACTAAAAGGGATTCGATAAAATGTTTAAATTTAAATTCGAAGGCCTTAAGGAGGGTGTTATACTGGAAAACCGGGGAAGATTAAAAAAGGTGTAAGAATTTAGCTAGGAAAAGACATTTTTTTAGTGAGGAAAAAGAACTGATGCTTGGGAAGATGAGGAAGATTCTTGAGTGAATTGAAAAGGGATTGAATCAAATCATCAAAAAAATTTTGACAAAAGGAAGTTGAAAAACCAACAGGGGAACTTGAAAGACAGAGTTTGTCGTGCGGAATGATTATAAAATCTGGGGGAGGGATAAAATCCTTGTTGAGGGAAGAAATTTCACACTTTATCCTATTTAGGGAAAGACCAATTTTAGAAGCTTCCATTTCAACGTATTCTATGGCCGACAAAACATTGGATAAAGAACCGCCAAAAGAGCCATCGTCGGGATACCATAAATTTAGGTCTAATTTGAAACCACACTTTAAATTTTTAATCAAATCCTGAACCCCTATAGTAACGAGCAAGGGACCTAGTGGATCACCTTGCTGAATCCCCTCTTCAGAGAATGTGAAAAATTCCCCGAATGTAACGAAGGAAATCCATAACAGGACTTAAGAAAATTCTAATATTTTGGGAAATGATGTAAAAAAGAGGGTAAGAATGCGCTCCTATGGATGCTGTTGAAGGCATTTCTGAAGTCTAACTTGCAGAAAACCTTATTCCACCTCAGGATTTAAAAATACGCGCAACATGTGAGGCCACTTCACACCCACCCTTAACTCAAATTCCTAACTGTGAGGGAAATAGGAGTGAACTGGCCTTAGGCCGGATCCTATTTACAATAGCCATGGCGACTTGTCGACGAAAGATTGACCCTATAGCTATGGGTCTAATGCCACCATCCGGCTTGGTTAAAGACACAATACGTGCGCAAAAAAGAATAGGATGAATACATAGAGAAACTTTGCATAAGAGGATATTATTGCAAAGTTCAGTTAATGATTTCAGCAAAGGGTCAATAAAACCACTATCAAAGCACTGAATTAAATCACCAAAAAAACCAGGTCTGAAACCGTCCAACCCACCTGTCGTCCCTTTTTTAAATGACTTCAAGCACTTGAGTACTTCATCACAGGTAAAAGGAACAGGGGAAGAGGCATGCGGGTGAATGTTAAAAGGGGAAGCCAATGTATATTTCTCGAGAAGTTGTTGAAAGATAGTAAGGTTGGAAATCGTATCATCAGAAGTCAATATTCGGGCAGGGCTGATAATATCTCCAAGATCTAATTTTTCAGATATCAATTTACAGCGGAAAGAGTTGGGATTTAAAGAGTTAGATGGAATATTTTATTTTTGGGTTTAACTAGGACTCGAAAACAAAAACTAACCAGGTCTAACCATAAGGGTATTGAGGAGAAATCTGAATTCAAATTATTTATAAGTGACGTGAGGAACCTTGAGATCGACTCTCGGGCAGCTATAGGGATCCTAAAAAAGAACTGGGGGAATATGCGAATTAAGAAATAAATCACAGAGCTTGAGGAACAACAAACCAGACTGGGGTCATACGAGTGAGGAGCTCTAATAAAAGGATTTGGGCGTGAGGAGAGGGGGAATTTTGCAGAATTGGTGCAAGCGGGTGAACTATGTTTCCTAAATACCCCATTTAAATTCAGCGAAATTATTTAAGTATACTTGGCAACAAGAGTTTATCATGAGATGGCTTTGAAGGAACTGGTGTCCAATTTTGGTAATACTATTATTGATGAATTTATTCCATCTAACTCTTTAAATCCTAACTCTTTCCGCTGTAAATTGATATCTGAAAAATTAGATCTTGGAGATATTAACGGCGCTGCCCGAATATTGACTTGATGATAAGATTTCCAACGTTACTATCTTTCAACAACTTCTCGAGAAACATCCATTGGCTTCCCCTTTTAACATTCACCCGCATGCCTTCCCCCATTCCTTTCACCTGTGATGAAGTAATTAACTGCTTAAAGTCCTTTAAAAAAAGGGACGACAGGTGGATTGGACGGTTTCAGACCCCGTTTTTTGGTGATTTAATTCAGTGCTCTGATAGTGGTTTTGTTGACCCTTTGCTGAAATCATTAACTGAACTTTGCAATAATATCCTCTTATGCGAAGTTCCTCTTCGTATTCGTCCTATTCTTTTTGGGCGCACGTCTTGTTTCTTTAACCAAGCCGGACGGTGGCATTAGACACATAGCCATAGGGTCATTTTTTCGTCGATTAAAATTATGCAAAAAAAAATAATATATAATAAGATGAGATATTTTTTGTAATAATTTTTTTTTTTTAAATTTATTTTTAAAAACAAATTGATTTTCATTTTGATCAGGTAAACAAGAGCGCTTAGTGCTAAGCATAGCTTTCACTGTGCCAAACACACGTTCAACTGGCGCAGAGCAAGGGAGGGTTGTATTATAATATTTAATAAATAAAAAATAATTTTAATTAGGGTATATTTATTAGAAATTAAAAAAAACTTATTTCATCTTCAAAAGAATCTTCATTCAGATCCTTGTCCATTTTTTTTTTAAATCTTCATCATAAAATAATCTGTACGTGTGTTGTTGTTTTTTATAAAGGAATCAAGTCTGCCTTTTTCTTTGTCAAGATCTTTTCTCAAACAGGAAATAAGTTCAAGGTTCCTTCCTTCCTGCCTTTACAACTAATTTTACCAGGGCCAATCTGATTTAAATGGTGGGTGAACTATTGCCGAAAATATGTATTCATCTTTAAAGATGTGTTCGCATCTTTTGAAATAAAGTGTAAACAATATTTCAACTCTGTACCCTTCATATTTGTCTTGTAGGATTGCATTAATAAGGGGCATAAAAATGAAATTATTTAAGGCCATTTTTTTAAAAAATGTTAAATAGTTATCGTGGGAGTGAGATTTTTCAAATGCATTTTTTCTTCTCACTCTCTAAGGAACTAGTTCCATAACCTATGAAATCATACATACAGCCATACAATATTCATCTATGAATGACTTGTCATCATCTGAAAATCTCTGCAATTTGAATTTATCACAAGATTCGTCAAATATGTGGAGTTCCATCTTGTTATAATCAGTATACTCAAAATATCTTTCTCTTTTTTCCTTAAAAATGGCTGCACCGTTTGGAGGATGCCCATGTTTATTCCACAAATGAGGTTAAAATATTTGATTTGGGACACAATTTACAATTACTTACAGTGTAAACTTTGTCCCCTTATCAAATTTTTTTTAAAAAAAATGTCGCATTTAACTCATCATCATCTGGAGAAAAAAAATGAACAATTTATATAAATATTTTATAAAATATATTATTATAAATCAGACAATTGATTTGATTCAAATATTAATTAGAATATAACAATCTTGACAGAAAATTTAAAATTAAAATGAAGGAATTCGGTGGTCGATGTGAATTTAGAAACTCGGCTTAAAATTATTCATAAAATTTAAAAAAATAAAAGTAATTTAATATTAAAAAATTAAATATGTTTTCCCCATAATTTTTTTTTAAGAAAAAATTGATCGATGTAACGAGTAACGTTTTGCGTTACCGTTACTCAAAAAAAGACGCGTTACTCGTTACCTTTAGAAGGAGGTAACGAATGGCGTTATTTTACGTCATTAGTCCTAATATACGTTATCACGTGCTATAAAAATATTTTTTCATTTTACCACACATTAAACGACAAGTATGTTAAAAAATATAATCGAAACCTGTTTGTAAACGAGACTTTAAAACGTCGGGAGGTATGGCGATTATCCAATTTGCGATTCCGGCCAATCCGCCGGCTAATATTACTCTGAACGGACTTATATTACCGGATGATCTAAATTAAAAACAAAACAAAAAATCATTTAATGAAGCGTAGATTCTCTCCATTTTTCCCCAATAAAAATTATGTTTAAACCAATGAAATACAATGATACCTAGACTGACGATGCATTCATTAAAGGTGTGCAATGAAAATCAGCTGGGACGCCATTTTGGCTATCCTAAACGAGGGACCAATTTATTCCCTATGTCTGACACAAATTTTATCAAGGAATTGTCTAATATCACCGAGATGATAAGGAAAGCAAGTTATCAATGGCAACAGTAGTTTTTAACACGAGAATAATTATCATATGTTTTACCAAAATGGCGGGTACAGCTGATTTACATTCAACGACGCTTTCAAGTGCTATGAATAAGTCCTCCTTGGTTTAAACAGAATCTGATAATATTTATTATAATTCTAAGCATTTTTTATTTATTCCTAATGTTGTGATATTCAAATGAATAATACCTTCATACAAAAAAAAAGTCTTGTGCAAATTAGAAGAATTATCACGATATTATTATGAGATGTTGGGTTAATTTCATAATTATAAGACCTTCTAAGATGTTAATTTAAAAATAAAAATTATATTGATATATTGGGTTATAGATGGCCAAATGGAAATCATATGATTTTTTTTTTAAATGTTGGGCTTTACGGTTTTAGGCTGTTTCCTGGTTCGAGTTCGATATAATTTAGATACGATTGCTTTGGAACATCCATTTTCGGTATTTTGTGGCATTGTTATTTTTTTTTTCGTATTTTATACTTATTTATTTTTGGTTATTGTCTCAGTGTTTATAAATTTTGCAATATTTTTAATATATATATCCGTCAATCAATAAATATTGCTTAACGTTGATTGGTCGGTTAAAAAAAAATTAACATATTTAGTAGATTTTTGCCTTCGTGAAAAATAAAAGAATCATAGATTTTTTTAATTTCTAAAGTTTTAGTGAGGACTAAGAAAGTTAGGTTTCCATTTTTATTTACATTTCTTCTTTTTATTTTTTGATTCTGTTAAGTAATAAGTCGATCAAGAACATGGCCTTAACGTTTATTTTTTAATTTAAATATGATGTTCGATTAATATATAAAATTTTATATTTTTTATCGTTCCTGAGGCGATATTTTGTATCGTATATACAAAGAAAACGTTAAAATATTATTTAAAAAAGATCGTTTATTTATTATTATCATTAAATATAAAATCGCTATCATTTTACCACTTTATAATAAATTTCCGTATTCTTGCCTAACAGGATATTTTTAAATCCCTGCACAACACTAAACAGAGTTAAATCTCCTTTCAAAATTTTATTTTAAGAAATAACTACTTTCATTTGGGGTTTATTAGGCAAGTATCCTAGCACCCGGCTGTCTAAGCCTGTCGGTGACCGGGGTGGCATTTCTAAGCTCAGAGATTTCACATCAGTTCCTCGAGGAAAATCCGAAAAATTTTTACGGTTCCTTATTATCAGGATTGAACCTGGTACCTTCGCCTTCCAAGCATACATCATATAAACCCACTAGGCCACCCCGACGATTGAGAAATAAATATTTACTACCACAAAAAAATATTAAAGGAGAAAATAAAGTCAAAAGGTAAGAGGTATAATTATAGTAAACTTGTCGTTTTTACTCATCAGATCTTTCAGCCACTCGTACGTCATGAAATACACGCCACTAGCTGGAACGTCTTCATATGATAGAAAAAATAAATAATAATAATATGTCGTGTTTTAAATTTATGGTTCCCATTTTTCATCGCTTAGAAATTAAAATTGGTATGTTCAGATAATACAAAAAAAGAAATTGGTAAGTTTGTGTACTGAATTCGACTTATCTTTTCATACTTATTTATGGTAGGCCTAGAAACCCCTAAGCAATGATAGAAACTCTGGAATTTTATCAAAGTATAACCCTGAACCTTAGCCTCAAACTATCATCATGATCGGAATTAAAGACATCTGACAGCCTAAGAGGCTGAGGTTCAGGGATAATAATCCTAATTATCTTCACATTTCTAATAAAACTTCCGGTTTTTGAAGTAGGACATCCTACTGGAGTTTTTTTAAGTGCTTTTGGTGATATTTCATATTTTTTGTTGTTTTTTTAAATATTTTTTTTCCTAAAAAACTAAATCGAATTGCCTCTCACTTTTCTGTTTGGTGGAAGCTGTTATAGCCGGCTAAAACCAGGACAGAGCCTAAAAGCTGAATTAATTTCTTAATGCTCAGATAAAGAAATACTAAATGCTAAGGGTTATAAAACAGAAACGCTCAAATAAAAAGAAAAATTAATCGTTCATAAAAACTAAGCGAAAAGCTAAAAAAATCATCTTAAGATTTTAAGATATCTATTGCAATTCAGTAAAAAAAAAAAAGGTGAACTTAAAGCATTTTTTTTAAAAAAATTCTGAGCAATTACGGGAAAGAATTCTTAGAGTCTCAGTTTTTTTATTCTGGAATTAATATAAGATCTAAATCTAAGAAGGAATTACAACAACAAAAAAAATAAAGGGAAATAATTATAATTTTCAAAAAAATTAGCATCGAACCCAAAATATCCTAGAGAAAATTTTTGTGGTTATAATTTTAGTTTGGATTAGAGATCTGCAAAGTTAGGCCCGGCCCGTACCCAGCCCAATTCTGGTCGGGCTGGGTCGGTATTTTAAAAAAAATCGGGTTCGGGCCGGGTTTCTAAAAAAACTTTCGGGCCGGGCCGGGTTCGAAAAATTAGGCCCGATGCAGATCACTAGTTTGGATAGCGTACTCATCGATTATAAATGTCAGCGTCAACGTGTCATTTTTTTTAAAAAAAACTTTAAATCATTTGTTTTTTGGCGCGTTAACCGGAAAATGTATGCCGTCATGTTGGGAATACCTACCCTTATGAGTAGTGTTGTTACACGGCTCTACTCAATATACCATCCAGAATAACATTACGCAGGGCCTGAAGATTTTCTTTGTAGAAGGAACAAAGGTTTGGACACCTATCAGCTAAATCTCGAGTTTTTTTCCGGCTAAAAAATTGGGTGAGCGGTTTTTAAAAACCGGCTCAAAACCAGCTGTTTAACAACACTACTCACGACTTTCAAAACCAATTTTTTCTACGAACCTCTTAATAATAATTTATATTAAATGACTCAAAGGTTTTAACAGTAAAATTGTCTACAATTCGTAAGATAGGCGGCAATTTAATTTCTGACATGATAGAATTATATTTCCGGTAAAATTCGAATTTTTAAATTTTAATATTAGACGCTCAAAAAAAAATAAATTGCCGGGAAAAAAAACACATTGAAACTAACATGCACAAGATACAATGGGCTCTGGTGGTTCCTTAAATGCTGAAGAATAGGGGTAAGGTTCATAGTTAGGCGGAGATTTCTAAGTGTATCAGATATTTTGTTTCGGTTTCCAAGCCTCGTGTTTTACCCAATCCTTATAAAATTATAGAAGATGGTTTGTTCTATATTCCGATTATATACGTGTAATTTCACCAAATTCATAGGTAATCCTTCTGCCAGAGACGATATTTCTAGCTAATCGCAAACTAGAGATTTACCTCTTTCTAAATTCTCGTTTCTTAGATTATTTTCTCCTTCTTACACTAACATCAATTGTACTAAAAAATGATCACCGTATTCACTGTTTAACCCCAATGCTTCCGTTCCTTAGGAATGTCATAACTCCGAAATGGTTAAGCCAACTCAATCTTTAAATAGAGGCTAATCCGAGATGTTGCCCGTTATATTTAGGGTAAATTCTCGGCAAAACCGTGTTCGATTGGCCAAAGTATCCCATAAGTCTCACTAATCGAACACTAAAACTCCCCCCCCCCCATTTACGATTGGACGGGCGTCAAATGCATGGCACTAAGCGTGGACGGAGGTGAGTCCGTTTTTTAAATATTTATACGAAATAAGGCTTACGACACCTCTCAATAGGGTGGCGCACGTTCCCCTGTATATCGACGCGATGCCACCCTGCTTGTAAAGTTTCTTAGCAACGTCAGCTGGTCCCTTGTACAATTTTTCTTTCGAATCTTGTTGTACCTATATATATATTTTATGAAAAAAACGAATTTTGTTGGAGGAGTAATTTATATCCTCAAAAAAAAATTAACGAATAATATATATCAATTTAAATCCAGAGTTTGGTAAACCGAACTGGAAAAACATTCGGGTTCCAAAACAAACCCTCTAAAATGAAATGACGCGACATTTTTTAATAAACGGGTTTCCCGGAAGTTTCCGCAAATGATGCTACTTCCGGTTCCCCTCTGATTTTTGCTATTTCTATTGGTCACCGCTAATGATACACCATTTTTGGGATAAGTGGAAGAGTAGACCAAACTCATCTTTCTAATATATATATATCATATCTATGAAATCATAATTTAAAAATCAATTGCCCTCCCCCTATCCTCTTCCTTCCTAGAGGATTTAAAACGAAATAGAAAACATACCTGTAATAGGCATTTAATTCGCTCGCCGGGTACCATGATGATAGTTGTAAAGACCCCAGATAACATTCCGGCATTGAATAATTGCAGCGGGCTAATAATAATAATATTGTTCTATTTGTTAGACATTTTGAATATTATATAAAATTTTTCCCTCGTGGATCAAAATATGCAAACAATTGGAATTTTAACATTTTTTCAAAAAGATTTTTCATCCTTAATTCGCGATACCGTTTAACATTAATGTCAGAGTTAGAGGATAAGACTTAAAAAGAGTTTTTGGTTGAGGTTCAAAATTTCAAAAAAAAAATCTTGAAAAGTGGTTCTTCCGGTTCTTAAATTTGACGCGGTCATTACCTGTCTTGTCAGCTTCCTTTTCTTTCAATTTGAAGACCAAATTAATTCTTTTTTTATAAAAATCAATTCATAACTCAATAATGTAATCTTGCCCATTACTTATTCCTTAGTTTGTGTATTGGGGAGGAGGGAAAGGGGGGTAATTTATAGAAATGAGATTGATTGAAATAAGTCATCAATCACCCCCCCCCCCTTTTGATATATAGTTTCCGCTTTTGTTAGGTTACAAGATGACCGCGTGAAAAATCTTTGATTCCTTTTTTTTAAGGAAGGAAGAAGGAAAGATTTTAGATTCAATTTTACCTGAAAAAATCCCAAAATATTATAGTATGTTTTTTGAATAATTTTTAGGGATACGGATAGGTGGCCATTAAGTGCGCAAATGTTAAAAAATATTTATTGCCCACGCAGGGTTAAAATACCCTAATTTACAGTAGGTAAATATAATAATATATTGTATACGATACGCGTCACTAGAGGGAGGGGTGAGGGGACGCATAGGAGCTCAGGACTCCCTGAGAATTTTCAATTCTCGTTACTTATCATTTCTGAATATTTGGACCTACTACAGTATGCATTTTATAGTTTTTGTATACAATTTCCCATTACTCCACAAAGAATCGTTCCAAATAAGTTTGGTATCGCAGAAAAGATCACATTTTGTAAAGCATATTCTAAGTAGGTTCTGAATAGATTGTTTATTTCATTTTAAAGATAAATAATAATAAACTTAACCATCATTAGTTTAACTAAATTCTAACAAGTCATTCTCGTAATCGTTTGATTTTAACATCATATTCGTTATGGAACTTGTGAATGTAATTATAGCAATTGGCTTATCAGATAAAATCTTCTTCAAACACTGCTGTCATTTTTTTTTCCATAATATTATGTTCCAGGAATTCTCCTAAATGTAAACCCCTCATCTGTTTTCTGCAGAACCTTTAGCTCCTACTGTATATTGGATATGATTCAGGGGAATTTATTTCCACAACTTCAGTTTCACAATCTTCTACTTAACTGCCATAAGTGTTAATCATCCTACAAATTAAAAAAAAATATTATTATAATGGTGATATTCCAATCAGTTATAATTAAATGTATAAAAATGTAACCTTTGCCTATTTTGGTTCTGGTGTTGTTAATTATATATATATCTCGAATGTAAATTATTATCGATTTTTAAGTTGATTTTTTGTTGTACCGTAATATTTAATATTATTAAAATATGACGATAGGAAAGAAAGAACAATTAAATTAATGCAAGAAATTCACGAAAAAAATAATAATAATAAGGTTATATACGTTATTAATATGTATTATAAAACAAAAATATAAAAAGTATCTGTATCTTTTGTTAAGAAAATGAAAAAGATACATGATTCTTCAATACAGATACAATTATCTTATTAAATCAATATAGATACAAGTATCTTATTAGATCAATACAGATACAAGTATCTTATTAAATCAATACAGATACAAGTATCTTATTAAATCAATACAGATACAATTATCTTATTAGATCAATACAGATACAAATATCTTATTAAATCAATACAGATACAAATTATTAAATCAATACAAATATCTTATTAAATCAATACAGATACAAGTATCTTATTAAATCAATATCTTATTAAAAAATGCCACAAAGATACTGAGCATAAGATATAGAAGAATCTTAAATCTTAAATATTAGTATTCGTGGGCTCGACATGCAAATAACGGCATCAAAATTTTTTTAATTTATAAAAATAGCTAGAAATAAATCTTGTTAAAAATGATTCACTTAATAAAAATTGTCTATCTATCTTAACAAGTAGAATGGCCAAAATAGCAATGTATACAAATTTTTATTCATAAAAAACAGTTTAAAAAACCGTCATAAAGTGATAAAAACATAATAAAAAACTGATCAACTATAAAATATAAATTAATAAATAACTATAGTTTTTTTTTCCAAGTATATTATATATACTTTTCTATTTTAAAAAAAGAAGTAGCTATACTATGATATAATTTTTTTTTATGATAATAGAAGTATACTAAAACAAATAAATGAAATAACGTCTACAAAAGGTTAAATATGTCAGAAACCTGCAGACCAGGCCCATATTTTAATTTTTTTAAAAATATATACAAGGGCCTGGCCGGATATTTTAAACCCAAATATTTGAAATCGCCATAATTAACTACAAAATACAAAAATAAATAAAAAATATTGTAGATAAATCCAAAAAAAATAAAACGAAATACGTTATATTTTCCTTGTGGTCGAATTGTATCGAAAAATTGTATCTTCTAAATTATTTCGTTTTAAAAAATTTTGTTATAAAGGTTTATAAAGATTTATAAAGGTTCGGTTAACTCTTTTTAAATTTTTTCTTTACAAAAAGGTTAAGCCTATGTTCAGAAAATTGAACATTAAATCGTATAAGGCTTCGCTTTTAAAAGTTCGGTTTGACATTTTGCAGGTAACGTCAAACTTATTATTAGATATTACCCCGATACTAAGACTACACTCCGCATCGGTATAGGTGTCACGCTGCTGATATCGACCGCGCAACCTATATCGCGACAATTTTCTATCAAGAAAGTTGCATCATTTTTATTTGTCGATTTATTTTATTACATCTTTGTACAAGAAAACATCCGCTAGTTAGCGTATTGAAACCGACCAGAAATAATGTAACGAACGTGTCACGTAGTGTTTGTTAAACAGCTAGCCAGAAAAAAATATTACGCACTGAAGATTTTTAGACATTTAGCGAAATTTCGAGGCTTAGCAATACATTTTTTGACTAAAATATTGAGTTTAGCCGTTTTAAGGCTTTGAGGAATAAGTGCCTCCACCCACGTTAGGGTCCAAGGGGATATTGGGGAGAGGGGCAGGAAGACGGTCGTTTTAACGCGGGTAATATGAGATAAGGGGACCTATATTCGTTATAGATTTTAGTCGTAACAATCACACTTTTTAATCTGTATTTTAAAGTTTAAGGTAAGCTACCCTTTTGGTAAACGCTTGAATACAACAACCAAAAATAAGATATTTTTAAGATCAAGGAATACTAACGTTAGAAAGAAAACTATAGTGCTGAAGAATATTCCCTAAAATAATAATATAATAATTATTAGAACAATAGAGGCAATGACATTATAATAATACCTAGACTGACGATGTTTTCATTAAAAGTATACATCAATGAAAACAGCTGGGAACGCCATTTTGATTACCCATATCATTATTAAAAAAATTTTAAACGAGAGGCCAATTTATTCCTAAGTCTAACGCAAACTTTATTAAAGAAATACCTGATCATCGAGATAATAAGGAAGCAAGTTATCAATTTAATAGCAGTTTTTAACATGAGAATAATTACTGTATGGGTTACCAAAATGGCGATCCCAGCTGATTTGCATTCAACAACGCTTTCAAACGTCAGTCTAGGTATTACATGTCATTGCATAGGGGGGTCGATGGTTATCGCCAAATCAAAAATACTAATGTCAGAAAGAAAATTATAGTATTAAGGAATATCCCTAAATGATAAACCTTTCAAACATGGCTATTCTTATTATGTGATATAAATGATAATAAAAATTATAAGGACCATAGGGGAGCGGATCCCTGACCCGAGGACTTGGTGGGTCCTAGTGTTGGGAAATAAAATTTTAAGTTCACTTATAATTTACGAAAATTTTATATTAATATAAAAACAAAAACAAAACAAAAAAAAATTAAAAAAATAAGTAATTAACTTAGTTATACTTTTTTGGTAGCTATAGCTAATAGCGGCTACTTTTTTTGTAATTATTTAATTTTTTAGCGCGCTACTTTTTTTTGAAAGTAGCTAAGTAGCCACTACTTCGCTACTTTTAAAAAATATGAAGGTAAGTTGTAAACATTAAAATTAAATATAATATCATAATTAATTATAATTTATTATTTAATTTTGAAATTAAAATATAATATCAATTTGTAATTTACAGTATTATAAACCTAAATCACGTGTTAATAATTTAAAATGTCATCACCTATGGTTATCCAAATCGTGAAAGTGATTCAGACAATGATATTTAGTTAAAATTCCCTAATATGTGAGGTTTGAATACCTTTCTCTAAGGGGGTTTTAGAAATTTTGAAATGGTGTGTTATTTATCATAGGCAATGGTTTATCAAACACAAATATATTTTTGATTAGTGGAGATCAAGGTCATACTCATATGGCATGGATTTGGAATATTTGTGATATTCATTTTTAATAACCGCAATTAGAGAAATTCTAGTTTTATAAAAGGATGTGAAAACATCATTTTATATTTTTATTTTTTTTATACATTTTTGCCTGTTTTGTCTGATTTATTAAATTTATAAGCTTGGACCTATATAGATTTTTTTTCAGGTTTTATTCTTATGTTTTTTTTAATGTTTATTTCTGCAAACCTTTTTTCCCCATTTCCTTACCATAATTAGGGTAAAATAGAATGAAAATACAAAAAAAAAGAATAATATAATGTGGTGTTACTAAAAATACATAATTTAATAGGAATTTAAAAATATTTAGCTTTAAATTTTCTTGGTAAAAGACAGTGGAATGGGTAATAATCAGGGTTGTTAAAGGATCTATATACAAGTATCTAGATAGATTTTTGATTAAAATATCTGTATCTAGTTAGACAATGTATCTATATCTAGATCCATTTAAAAAGTATCTTTTAACAACTCTGGTAAAATTAGAAGCTTGTGAGTAGATCTCCACAGAAATAAATATATCAAATTGGAAATAGTTGTGAACTAGTTTATCTAAAAACTTTCCATAATATATTTTAATTAGATGAATGATATCAAAAGTTAATTTTATGAATTGACATGAATTATTTTGTGTCTTTGAAATAAACCTTGACACCAGCTGTTTTACCCCATCATTTTTGATCTTTTTAAAAATTTAATTAATAAACATATTATTTGTATAGATAAAATAAAACTATTGATATACGTATAATTTTTGCGATTTTCGGATTTATGTTGAATTTTTTTCCCAACAGCGAAGCCAAAGAAACACAACGCAAACATAGGTGTAACTCCAACCAAAGGTGCAGCCATACCTTTGTATAACCCTTTGATACCCTTTATAAATAAGATTACAATAGAAAAAAATATGATAAGATATAAACAGGGATTTTTAAAGATATAACTTACTTCACTATAAAATGTCTTCTTTGCACAATCAGTAGCACTACTATAAAGTGCTTTCTGTCCCAATTCTGGTTTTGGCATAGTTTGTAATCTGACCTGTTAAATAACACTGAATGATAATTTTTATAATAAAAATACCTATTAATACAATTAGCTTTTTGTTTATGGTAGCAAGAGTATTTATTTTTTTCAATTATATAGCAATGTCAAAACCAATTATTTTAAAATAATAATATATAGCAGATAAAAAAAAATTTAATATTAATGCAATTGTTTTAAAATGAAGAGAATTTTCATTAAGTATTACTTTAATAGTATCTAAGGGATGTCCTGTAAATACCAAACACATACCCCCCACACCACCAGCAACAAAATCTTTTAAGGGATTAACCTTTTTATGAATTATTTCAGTTTGAGACATAATGATATTGAGAATAAAAAATAGGCTAATAAGTGGATAATCCTTAAATTTGAAAACCGTACGCAATTATTTTGGAGTTACATTCCGAATTCAAGGATCGAAAAGTATTAATCAATACAGTTGATTGACATTAATAAATTATATCAACGTAAATCTTATTATAGACATTTATTTATAATGAACTTAAATATTAAATTTAATATAGTGATAAATAGTTACTTTTAATGTAACAATCATAATAATCCTAAAATGAAATTGAAATCTATATTTATTAAAATGCCCTTTTCTACTTAAAAATATTTTTATTTTCTATTTTTTTAACTTATAGATATTATTTGCCTCTGCTTTTCTACTTTTTTATGTAGAAGTGAAGTAATTAAAATCCATTATATCTTGAATCGAGTTTGATCTTCAAGAATTGAGAACCTGGTATGACGTAACAAACCAGCTAATAGTTAACGATTTTAAAAAAGCCCCTGAAAATTTGATTTTTTAAAAAATATCATGGATTTCCTTATTCCATTTTTTAAATGTCTTCTATTGGGGCTAAGTAGATGCGATCAAAGTAGTAAAAAACCGGAGGGGGGGGGGGGGGGTTAAGGAAATGTCGAGTTATTTACTTACAATTTTTTTCGATAGTAAACATCTAAGGCAAATGGCTGTGAGGATTAATTATTGAAGGGTAACCACATAGGCGTAGCCAATATAAATTTAAGAGGGGGGGGCTGGAGAAAAGACCATAGGAGGGTTCTTCATTTATTCTTCTTTCAAATTCTTGTTTATAATGATATATTATATTAATTCTTTTAGGTCAGATGGTGTGGGGGATTTTTTTACTAGCTTACAAGAATAGGCAAATTTCTGCATGCAGGTGATAAGAAATTTCCCCTTGCCCCTCCACCTATGGTTACGCTTATGGGTTACCACTATTATGGATAAAATATCGAAAAATATATGGTCATTAAAATTTATTTAATACTTCAAATCTATTATAAAATTACTGGATAACTAAACATTGATAAATCTTAAATCATAGCCGTAGCCAGGGGGGTAAGGCAAGGGGAAATCCCCCCCCCCACCTTAGAAACTTATCACTTTTTGTGAATATCATTTTAAGCTAATAATAAATATCCCCCTTAGTTTTCACCCCACTCTCTGACCCCCAAAAATGTATGCATATATCTTAAACAATAATTTGAAATAAATAATGCAAAAGTTGATATTTTTTTATAAAACTATACATCTTAATTTATACATTTTTGGAAAAAAGCATTTATATATAAAAAAAGTAAACCAAAAATCTTTATTTTAAGAAATGGAATATAAGCAGGGATCCAAACCGTACCTGAATTTAACCGTTAAACCGCTAAAAACCGGTATTTTTTATCAAACCTAAACCGAGCCTAAACCTCTAAATTCTAGCCGAACCTGAACCGAACCGTTAAAATGCCTCTGAACTGTTCGAGTCTCATAATTTTATGCTTATAAAATAATATGTAAGTTATTACTAGTAGTATATTGCAAAAATTTAATTATATTCAAATTGTTTTAAAAGTCATAATTTTTATAAATTTCAGTATATTGCCATTTTACAAAATTTTTTAATTATTTTAAGCTTATAAATTATAATGCTTAGAAAAAAATTATATCTAATTATAAATTATTTACATATAGTATTATATGATGACACATCAAATGTGATATAATACTGGCAATGCCAGCTACCCAAGTTAGTGTGGAAAGATGTTTTTCAACAATTAAATTTATATTATATCCTTATAGATGTAATTTGAGTGAGACAAATTTTGAAAATATATTGTGGCTTAATAAAAAAAATTTAAGTAATTGTTCATATTAAAATTATTCATTGGTATATTTATTTGTTATATTTATAAATTAAATATTATTTTATAATGTGCAATTATAAAAATGAAGGTTTTTATTTTAATTATGAAATAAAAAAAAAAATTTCCTTATACATAATCCTAAAGTAGGTTTGAATACAAAAGTGTTAAAACCGGTTTTTAAAGGTTCAAACCGAACTGATATTTTTATTTTTACGAACCGAACCTGAACCTTGAACCGTTATTTTTATCCAAACCTGAACCTGAGCAGAACCGATATTCGTTTCGGTTTGGATCCCTGAATATAAGCCAAAGATAATTATTAATACAAAAGTGAAATGTATTATAATTATTAATAATAGATCCATAAAATTACTAAATAATATAATATATCAAATATAATTTTTTATAAAGTGAGTAATTTTAATTTATTTATCCTAATAAAAGTAAAATATAATTACAAACTATTGATAAAATTAAATCATAAATTAAATAAAAAAAATTAAAGCACAATAGTCGAATATTATATGTCGTAGATTTACAGTATATCGAATTTTATCAATTATCATATGACAATAAAGAAATTTTTACCTATATAGCGAATTATATATTTTACCGAAAATTATAAAATATTAGGACATCAGAAAATATCTTCGAAAGACATTGTGGGATGCATAATATAAAGATATTTTTAATATTATTTTTTAGTTAAAATATATAGATGGCGTTAAATAATTGAATGCAAATTGTTGCTATATTTATTATCAAGAGCATTGATTAGTAAAATTTGTTAAAATATTAACTGTAATATATTCTCTAATATGTCTGTAAAAGTATAATTTTACCTAGTATTTTGTAACTAATTCTATATAATAGAGGAAATTCAACTATATGTCTACTTACTTTATATAAACTAATAGAAAGCCTGTCAAAAATGACGGGGAATGATATTTTTATTCATTTTTTATGATAGATGTCAGGCCAGGTTCTAGCTCACAATATTAGGAAGCATCCAAGATCTTATAATTTTTAAAAGTTTATCAAGCCCAGCTCAACCCTTGATAATTTCTAAAAGATATTCCCAAGTCAGGTGCAAGCTAATATTAATTTTGAGGTTCCATGCCCAGTCCTACCCATTATAAGTTTGAAAATTTTTTCCCGCCTCGGAAATAGTTAAATTTTTAATATCATCACATGAACGGGAAATATCTGATTTACCAATTAGTCTAATATGGAAAAAAAACATGTAAATTCCATATTAAGGGAAACTGGGAAGGCCTGGGCAACCACTTATTAGAGAATTATGACAAATAAAATAAAAAAAACCGACTCTTATACTTTTTTGTAATATGATCAATTAAAATTATATCTAAAAAATATGTTGTTTATTATATAGTGTTATTGTTGTTTTTCAGATAAATTTAATGTATGTCTTGCATTTCTGAAATTATTTGTCAAAGAATTTGATAAGGGATATATATTTTTTTATGTTAAGTAAAAAAAAATGCTGTCTATTTAAATTACAAAAATGCCATTAAACACTAATGAAACTTATATGCAAATTATTTATATATTTTTTAAGATATTTTTTTTTATTGACATATAAATTTAGGATAATTTTTTTAAAAATTAATGAGGATTATTTATTATGTATTTGATAAAATTAAGAGCAAATCCTTGTTAACATTTTAATTTTTGATGGAAAAAGTGACAAAATAAATCTGGGCGGTCATCTGGAGAGTAAATATAGTTTTATATCATTTAGGGTTGTAGATGAAAGTGATGACGGATTAACAACAAAACACATTCGTCCTGATAAAGATGATATGCTTATGCCTTGGGATACTGATAAAAGAAGAACTCAAAACGATATTTCTGTCAATGTCGGCATTGGTATCCCCTTCTAAAATAGAATCATGAACAACAATGTTAACTCAACCATAAAACGGTCGTAAGTATTGCTTTAAAGGCCACGACAGAACTACTACATATTTTTCCATTAATAAAGTTGATGAAATTGGCCGTACTGTACATTCAAGTTTGAACATTCCTCTAAATATTCATAGTTTCTCAGAGAATCAGATAAAGTAATATTTATATTAACTCCTAGTGAAGTGAATGATAAATTAAATGTTTATATTTGTCAAAAAATAGGCGGAGGTGGCATAGGGATTGTGGTAGTGGTGATGGAAATATCATTTGGAGAAATGGGTGAAAATAAAATAAACATAGATATAAAACATAAGATAAAAAAAACAAAATAAACCTCCAGATGAGTTTATTTCAAGCGTAGTTCTTTATTATTTTGTCTACCAGTAACTCTAGAACGGGCAAGGCGTTTGTTTAATCGTCATTATTTTCTTTGCTTATCATTAATAATAGATTCATCATGTTTTGTAGCAATGTGAGGGATTAGGGTTAGCCTAGACAAATAAAGAAATCAGGCAAAAATATAAATAAACTATTGTTGAAATTAAACAAACATTAAAATAATGTAAAACCGGTGGGTCAATATTAGATGCATATTTCTAGTAGTTGGAGGGCTATCATCAAAAAAATTTTTTGGGGGACTTATCAAGCCTATTATGATATTCTAAAAAAATAACATGATGAATGTAATGTTTTGATGGTTAATTAATTGTAAGGTAATTAAAAAATAAGATTAAAAAAGGGGGGAAAAAGAAGGTATAAATTATAAAAATAATAAAAATTAAATTAAAGGAATTGATAAGGTTTTGAGAAATAGTGGTTAATAAATAATAGTGATATAAAGAAAAGAATGAGATAATAAAATTTAGTGATAAATAAATTTATTAAGGGAGAGGAAAAAAAATAAAGAAAGAGTTATTTATAAGGATTGGAGATTATAAATAAATTAGGATAAGAATATTTAAATATTTGAATAAACTTGATTTTCTTCTTAATTATTGGTTATGAAAGAAAAATATGAGTATAAAAAATTGTAATGTAAGTACTGACAAAAATTGTGAGTATGTTCAAAATAAATATACAAGTTGAGTATCTTGTAGAGATTTCATTAATGTGTAATTGATAATATGAGATGAAAATTGATAAGGTAATCTAAAAAATAAAGAAAGGATTAAGTGAAATAAAAAGTTAACTTGAATCTTTTTATTCACATTATTTATTTCATTCATATTTAGAAAGTTGAGGGAATATTGTTTATACCAATTCAAAGACAATTTTTCAAATCTCTCAATCCATGTTAGGTATGTGTACACCATCAATTCTCGAAATTCCATTCATCTGTTTGTATAAAATAAATAAATAAAATGAACAAATAAAAAAAATTAAAAATAAATACGTACATTTGACATGACGTAGCGATGACATGACGTCACGATGACGTAGTAAGGACATCAGAAAATTATAATATAAATATATTTCTTATACTTGTTTGGAATAAATTATTACCATGCTTTTATATTAATGTATATACAAGTAATTAATTATATTTTATATAAACTAATAAAAATATATTTTATATTTGTTCCAGGTTTTTTTTTTAAAATTAACCTCCTATAATATTTTATGACTGTATATAAACTAAGGTAACCCGGCCCAAGGCCGAGCAAAGCCGAAGACCTGCCCAAAATAAAATCTGGGGGCTTCGCCCCCAGTAATTTTTTGATCCCCCATTAGGAAAATCCTGGCTACGTCTATGCTTTATATTAATCATAATCATTTTATATTTGCCCCCAAATATGGTCATGACAATTAATTATCTCAATAATATTTATATTTTAATGTCTCTAATATAGTTTCAATGCAATACATTACATATTATTGATCAATCTTAACAATTGTATTATTTGAATTCTAAAATCATAGATTAGTATTTTTAAGAATTTAATTATCATCAAATTTCTCAAAACTAATTTTACAAAACTTTAAAAAAAAGAAATCAAAACTTGTATTCGTTATTTCTCTATCTATAAATATGGAAAAAATTAATGGCTCACTTGAAGTTAATTTTCTAATTCTCTATATGTTATGCCTATTATTTCCAGAGGAAAAATATGTTTGGAATGAAAGGATTTATGAAATATTTTTTGTAGGAAGTTTAAGGACATAAAGAATTAACCTCTTATTTTCAGTCGATGATTATTAAAATAACCTGGCAAGAATCGAATTGAATATATGATAGATTAGATGTGCAAAATATCAATTGAAATCTTACTCAAAAACAAATACTGTTTAATCTTAATTTTTTATATGGTTTAACTAATAAAAAATATACTTTTCAATTGCTTCCCTAATAGTAAACCTTACACTTCGTCACTGATATGTATTTTTTTTTAAATCTAAAAAAATTGCAGAAAAATATATCAATTTCGTACAAGAGAGGAAAACCTTTAAAAGAGAAAGAAAATCTATTATCCAATTTATACTGTGTACCAAAGGCAAACAAATCAAGGTTGGCCATTATCCAAACCTCCTGGAACCCCTTCTCTTATCCCTGTCTGATGGAAAAACACCAGATAGACTCAAAAACTATTCCTTGGTTTAGAGAAAAACACCTTATTTGGGATTTCACCTGTATCTTTCAATTTTCCATTAACCCAATCAGCTATGCGATTATTATAGCCAAAAGGTTAAAATTAACGTGACTTTCAGATTTTCGCTTTATTCCAATAGTTATTTCTACCAATATGACCCTAAGTCCCATAGACTCTTATTCTTTAAAGATTTTAGATAAAAAAATTTTCTCAAATAGATGATCATGGATTCTTTTTTAGAATGTATCAATCAACAAAAATCGCGTGTTCCAAGGACCCTATATTAGTTTTCCCCAAACTTAATGAGAGCCTCTTTTTACCCCCCCCCCCACCTCTTATATGTTTTTTTCAAATATAGTTTTTCTATTGGCCTTGTTAATTGTTTACATGTTTTTCTTTTTACATGTTAAACGGCTAGCTCAATATTTTTGCCAAAAAATATTATGAGTGTCTCGAGAATTTGTTAATAGATATCCAAATCTTAGGCCATCTACGAGTAAAGTCTCCAGGCTTGCTTAATACTTTTGGATAATATATTGGAATAGCTGTTAAACAACACTATCCATCTTATCAGTAAAACATTTTTAGCGACGCCGAATAAGTGTACAACTCGTGTACCGGAAGGAATGGTGCGTTGTATTTTATAAATGATTGATGGCAAAATCTTTAAACTGTGGATTTGTTTTATATATAAATTCATCAGTGTACCACAGGCTCAACAAAAAAGTGACGCTTCTTTTTTACATTTGTTTACAGAAACATAAATATATAGAGAGAAATGGGAAGATTGATTGACAGTTCCTTATTACTCAACTCATTCTCTCTCTCTTATTATCTAGATCTTGATTCCAACTTTAATATATTATATATAGAATTATACATTCTATTTTTATTTTATGATAAAATTATTAGTTTTACAAAATTCGATATTATGTCAAAAAAAAGTGTTAATGGATACAAAAGGTAATAATTGAATACCTAATACCAACCGCATTTAAATCTTAAGTATTGGTGGGACATAGAGTAGCGATCATATACGTATTTATAATTCTAAGGTTCATTATCGTAGAGATAGGAAATCGTGATAGGCATATATAAAAATTTTCTTTACCCTAAAACATAATTTTTATCTTTTATTTTATCATTATCACTGGCTGAAATTTTCTATAAAGTATTCAATATTATACATTATAATGACAATTGTTTGTTACTGTCTTGGATATTTTGTTTTGAATATAAAAACCTCTTTCGAACTATCTTCTTATCACACGTATAAGTCTATCATTAATTAGTCATTGAGCTATTAGATTTGAATTTCTCAAAACAAAACAAAAATATTAATAAAAAATGGAATTGTTTGCAAAAATTACTCGGATTATTTAATTTATAATTTAAATCAAATAAATAATTTTAATAAAATTAATTTACCCCTAAAAATAAATTATTTATTTTATATTTCTAAATTTTTATTTAAAAAAAATATAAGAGAAATTAACCATCAATTTCTAATAAACAAGTATTTAAAAAAATATATCCAAAAAATTTACCGGAAAAAATAAAATCTATAATATAATTGAGAAATTTACAAAGTATCATACATTCCTTAGGTAAAAAAACATGTTATTTTTATTTTTTAAAAATTATTTCATGATATATAACATAAATAATTAATACAATTCACATTTACCAGAGATTATAATTAAGTATAATTAAACAAAACAATTTGTGACATAAGCCAATAATTGAGAAATCACAGGGATGCAAAAAATATGCTTCAAAAAATAGTCTTTAAAGAAATATTGTATACGTCTAAAAATAATTCATATAATTTGATTATGAGGATAATTTTTGTAATGAGTAAAAAAAAGATTATTTTTTTGAATACATTTATAAAATTTAAAACATGATTATTTATAAATATATAATACTACGAACGCAAATAAACGATAATTATATATATATAATAAAAACCGCCATAAACGCGCCCCGCCTTTCAGTTAAGGATCCTCGAAACAAATACATCTACAATACTTCCGCCATTTAAAAAATTTGTTTGTTACATTTCCGGTCCGTTTGAGGAAGGTCACAAGTATTTATAAAATAATGAATTGTTTTAAGTATAAATAATAAGCCTTTCAGGCGCTAATTAGCGGATATAAAAAAATGAATGTCATCAAGGACCAATACAGACCACTCACTACACATTAGTGAAAAAAAAAGAGTTTTCAAAAAAATGTAGTGGATTGCATTTCAGATCAAGTTCAGAAAAATCATATGGAATAAAAATCTGTCAAAAATAGTAGACCGGATCGATATGACCGACAAAATAACGGGATTCCATTTTGTTTCTAAATTCGATCTAAATGCTGCCTAACACCACAGCTGTGTGAATCGGTCCAAATTTTTTCTTTAAATAATATTTAGATATTTAAAATTATAATAATACTATATTTGTTTTAAAATAAATGACAATAAAAAATAGACAATTCATAATAAAAAAAATAATATTTAGCAAAAGTTTAAAAAAATATAATAAAATAAATATCTCAAATAAATTCTTGTTTATGTCATATATTTATATTAGATTGACGAGATATATAATTAATTAATCAAATATTATGACTATAAGATAATGTTATTCTCTCATTTTTTTTAAATATAAAAGTATAATTTTCCAAGTGTGAAAGAAAGAAAAAATTTAGTTGTTCGCCTTATTTAAGATAAATTATAAAATAATACAATTGTTATTATGATTTTAAAATTTTATTATTTCTGTTTTGAAATTTTAAACTGTTTTTTTGCCAATTTGATAGGCCGTAATTACTGCGCAAACGGTCATAACGGCGAAATTTAAACCGGATATGATTTGGTAGGACAATTTGTAGCATTTAAAAATATTCGTCGAAGCGACTTTATAGGTAATCTGATCTAGTCGCAATTCGGGGGTAGGATCGACGTCGATATTCGCTAAACGGGTGATCTCCCCACCGATTAAGGGGCCCAGGAAGGCTCCCAAAGCAAAGCCGAACGTGAAAAGGCTCGATACCAGATTGTAACCCTTCAAAATGGTACTGTTGCTGCTTTGATCGGTTGCCCTTGTTACAGCCCGATTAGTAAGGGCGTCATCTTGAATCAATGATGCCTTCTTATCATCATCATCGGCCTCTTGTTCTCCGCCATCTCCTTCCGGTAGTCGATTCGTAAAATCCGTACCCTTATAATCGTCGGCTATACGGCTAGCGGAAAGCCAATCGTAACGCCTTTTAACCGGTGATCTGACTCGATGGAGTAAATCGGAAAACGTCATGACAATCAGGGCCCCGACGCTGGCACCCAGCACTGTTTGCGTCACGATAAGAGGCCATATGAGAGTCCACAGGGAGATTGACCAGGAGGCTGTACCGTTCTTTTTTAAAAAACAGGGGGTCTTAGGTGATAACGAGGTGTTAAGCGGAAATAAAAATTTGAGGGAGAAGGGATGGATAGGAGAGGAAGTGACTAGCAATGCCAAACTGGAGATTATGCAAATGCCTAAAAGTGAGAATCTGTATATTATTATTTTTTTTTAAAAAAATTGGATTATTAAGCAAATAGCATGTGCCATCTTTTAGACCTTATAATACGATGTCCGCTAGTTTTACCATTTGGAGTCGGGATTCTATCGCTAAATTTCTGGAAGCCTAAAACGTATTTATCGACAAGGGCCCCCATCACGAGACTTGAGAAGGTGAAGGACCCGGAAAGGGCAAAAAATATTCCGGCTACGATCATGTTAATATTTATCCCCCCTTGATCATTTTGTGTCAAATAGGCCTTGATCAGGCTCCTAACGTGCAGCTCCAAGCTAGAATCCACGAAACTCAAATTAATGGCGCCCAACACGAGAAACAGTACGTTCAAAACGACGTTTGTTTGGCGGAGATCGGAAAATTGACTCCGAGACAAATCGAAATTCGTAGAGTTTTTGGCGATTATCAATGAGTTGGGTCTGAGGGTCTTCATATTTGAACGGGTGGTCGAATCGTCTTCTCTTTGAGCGCTCTCTTCCGCCTCTATCAACGAACAGTGTTCCTCGTCTAGGCCGAGACATTCATCGCTAGCGATAACATCCGACGTAGATTCCGTATTTTGAGTTGTAGAACGGGGCAAGGATGCACCTTTTTTTTTATGGTTTATAACACGAATTAAGTTTTATTAATTAAAAAAATAAATTGTTATGATTGACGCGAGTAAAGGTTCGAACCCAAATTAGGCTTCATTAGGGAGCGGAATATTTGATAACGGAAACTTAATCGAGACCGATTTTCTTTTTTTAAATTGGTCCGAACCCGCCCCGGTTCGAAAATACATGGGATTTGACGGGTGGTCCACAAAAATGAATATTTAAAAGCGAATAATTTTAAAAATATCCCAACCCCAATTCGGATTCGTAAGTGAGCAAGGAAGGGAATTAAGATTTAAACACAGATGAGTTCTTAAATAATTTATGGACATTCGAATTGAATCGTTAGTTATGGAGGATATTACAGAAACACAAAGATCAGCTATAAGATCGTTCAATTATTCCGACTCATGGAAGTTGTACATATAGTTTTACCTAGTATTGTTAAACAGCTCGACTTGAGCCGATGTTCAAAAACGGCGAACTCAATATTTTAGTCAGAAAAATATTGCGTATTCCTCAAGATTTTTCTAATAGATGCCCAAATCTTAATCTCATCTATGAGCAAAATTTTCAGATTTTTGTATTATTTTTGTGGATAAAATATTGAGTTAGTCATTTTTAATAAACTCGAATCGAGTAATTTAAAAAACATCATTTGTTCCTAAAGGAAGCAGGTAAGGATACTACATTATGTAATTTATCAAGAAATCTTATATTAACAAAGAGGTTTTTGAGAAAATTTAACTTAGTTTGGAGGTAATGTGATTAGTATTTATCATATTATTAATAAGAACATTCTAAAATTCAATATAAATTATTATGACATCTTAAAAACAATAACTATTTTAAAAATTTATACTGATTATAATGTTAGTTCATCATGGTATATTAATAAAAAAGACCATCAAAATGTCCCCCTCTCCCTAGCTTAGAATTATTTCATTAGATAATTTTCCCAATATATGTAAATTACGAGGTAAAAAATATCATGATTCTATTACCAGCATTTACATCTGTTATAGTAGGTATGCTAAATATAGCTATTATTGATAATATTATGCAAACTACACCTAAAACCAGGAAAGGACAAGAATATCCACCAGCCTATTAAAAATATATAGTTTATTAAATTAAAGGTAGACAACAGTAAATAAGAATGCTCCAATAGGGGGTCCTAGAGCAAAGCCCAGTCCAACAGATGTTTGAAATATACCCTATAATGAATATTTTAATTAAAGTAATTTTAAATTAAACTTACAAATGCAGTTGCAACTTTAAAAGGATAAAGAAAAGTGGTGATTATATACGATGTTGTTGTGAAAGCAGAATTTCCTATACCTTGCATCAATCTTAAAAGTATGGTAAATGTTATGAAATAAACTGGAGATTTTGTCTTAGAGATCATTGATGAAAACCCAAAGGAAAGGGTTGAAACTGCATTTAACATAATCCCTATAAGGTATAAACGTTTAATTCCTACTTTATCCATCTAATTAATTATAAAAATAATAACTTGTTTATGTTTATAATGTTATTACATAAATTGCAAATAGGGGTGTAGCAATCAATTGAATTCCTGGGAAAATTGCAAATATTGAACTAGACCAGAATTGATCAACATTTCTCTTAGCTGCCTAAATATAATTGAGATCGTAAAACATTTTTCGTACTTCATAGGGAAAAAATGGGGCAATAATTGAAAAACATGTCGATGCAAAAAACCCAATTAAACAAAGCACAATCATCGCCCAAGTTATTGAATTTTGAATCATATTTTTTAAGCTATTTTAAAATAAGTTACCAATTAGGCGAAACATATGCATATGATTGAGTGCATAAAAACATGTAATGTGGAATTAAATGCGAAATCTGGAAATAACAATTATATAACTATAAATCATATAAAAGTATAGTATTTACTATTATTATTATTATTATATGTGATAGATTTTAATATATATTATTTTTATTCATTTAGTAAGAAAAATGCTGAATTATTATTATTTAGATACTAGTAAATAGACGGTTAAAAATGACGGGTAATGAGAATTTTCTCTTTACTTTTGTGTTAATTGCAACCTGTTAGTTATAAACTATATCTTTTTTTATTTTTTTAACCCCCCCTTTAGGCCAGATACAACTCATTTAAACGTAGAGTATATACTATGTTTTGAGTTAAAATATATTTATTAGCGTTTATTGAAACCCATATCAATATTATGTGTCTAAATATTACAGATCACCTTTGCCTAATATTTAATATCAAAAAAATACCCAAGCAAGGTGCAATGCCAAAATAATTTTGAAAAAATTTTCCCAAGAGAGGCCCAAAACCATAATAGTTTTGGTAATTGTAAACTGGATAAAATGTAAAAAAAATCATAGTGAATATAAAAATACAATCAGAATAAGACCACCTTAAAAAAAATTCTCTTACTTAGGCGGCGATCTTTCTACATTACTAATTCTAAAATTAATAAATACACTTCCCTAACCAATTGCAAACTCATACCAATCGTATCCGACACAACCGGTTTTTTTGGCAATCATGCCAAAACCTTCTTCAAATCCCTTGGTAAAAAAATCTGCGCCACTGGTGACCCATAGGAAGACTTCTATCTCAGACAGCGCATATCTATTGATATATGCAGATCTAACTGCATTGTCATCCACGGCTCTCTTTCTTGACCTCCTCCAACCCAACATACAATTTACTATACTAATTATTATTTATTTATTATACAGTTTTTTATATAGATTTTAATTTACAAATAGTTTACATGATATTTTTAATATATATTTTTAAATTACGTATATATGTTTTAGTTTTAGCGTTCAATGTATTATTTTAAAATTGATTTTTAAATAAATATATTCTTAATTTTAATGGTACTCATCCCTTCATATATTTTTAAACAAAATAACATAAATTATCAATTATGTAAAATTATGAATGAATGAGTTATTTTTTAGAATTTAAATTAAAAATTCTCTCATTTGCAAAGAAGTCATTATTATTGTTTATTATTTGGCGATATAAGTTTCCTATTAGAATTACTAACACTTTTAAATTAGATTGATAAAGATAGCATAAAATTATACGTAAATAAGTTTCATTTCAAAAAATAATTACTGATATTTAGCAATAACATCCTATTTATAATAGGCCAATCACAACATTATATTTAGCCCTATTTCATAAAAGAAATTATTGATAATAAAGTTTTCTATAAATATATAAAATGTTACGAGATTATTTTATTTAATTTAGAACATCATAGTCACGAATTTAAATTTATTTAATTTATTTTAAAATTTTACCAAAAAATCAGGCTTATATAACAATTTTCATATTAATATATAAAAAAAATCAATCTACACAATTTATATATAAAAAAAATCAATTTATATAAACATTAAAAAAAACAATTTAAAGGTAAGTAATCGGTCATATCAACATTCCACCCTTTAAAATCAGGTTTTTGTTGCATGTGCATCTCATCGTGCAGTCTGTCATAGTCTTGGAAAATGATATTTATTTTGGTTGTTCATATGATTGTTCAAGTCGTTCATAAGTCATTGTAGTCGTTGGCTTGATTCTATCACGTTGGTTTGTTAATATCGTTCTGAGTACGCTGACTCTAGTTATCATTGTCAATTTTACAAAATTGTTATTATCACCAATTGTAAAATTATCATTATTAAATAGGATTTCGGAATATATGAATAATTAGAGAATCGATCAAATTTGGATGTTAGAATAATAAATGGATGATAAATCAACAAAGTTGTAAGATTATATTTTCAGCGTTTTTTTATTTTTTATATATATTTTTTTAATAAAAGATGATATGTACGTCTGTACATCCATCTCTCTCTTCAGAAATTTAAACTTTATGCCCTTATTTTTTAATTTAAAAAGTATTTTGAAATAATAATTATTGAATGATTGTTTTTAGTAAAAAATAATTTTTTGAGCCTTAAATTTTTTGGAAAAATATCTCTTCATCACATCCTTGAGTATTATTCTAGAATGAAGACGTTTAGTTTTTATATGACTTCTCTTAGTGATACTTTTAATTGTCTTCAAATTTATAAGTTTCAATTTTTTTTTATCGCATTTAGTAAGAGTTTTTTTAATTTTATTATTTTCTTTATTTGTTTCATTGTTTTTTTTAATGTTTATTTCCTTTTTTTCTATAATTTCGAATATTTCAAATTTTATTATATAATTTATCACTTTTAGTTTATAAGAATCTCTTTCATTCTGAATATTTGGTTTTAATTCAATATTTTTCAATTTTTTGTTACTAAGAGATTTATTTTTATCAGAACGATTTTCTTTTATTTCTGTAGGACATAAACATTTTAATTAATGTACACAATACTTCATCATAACTTGAATTAAACTCTCTTGGAAACACAGCTTTCATGACTAAATATAATTCATCTGGTAAATTACCTATTAAGCTTAGAGTATTCTTACTATCATGAAATTTTAAATAATCTTCTAATTTGTCAATGGACTTTGTTTTATTATTATTGTCCCATATAGGTTTATTCATAATTTAGAGATTTATTAAAAAAAATTACTCTTCACTTTTTCAAATAATCATTTCTTACGTTTTTTTAGAATGATATAAATATAACATTCCAGAACTTTTTTATCTAGTTGTCTATGTTCCAGTAGCTAAAATCATATTGTCAGTGGATTTAGAATATTTTGTAAGTCATTATAGCCCAATTATTTAGTTCCCCTAATTTGATATTTACCTCATCTGGTAGTCTTCTTGTAAAGGAACCTGCTTTTTCGATGTCCAAGATCTGAGTGTCCTTGAAGATGTCTTCGAATCTACTCAAAAAAGATCGCCATTGCCTGAGTATATTGGAAATTCAATATTTATATTAACATTATTATTGGGAATCTGTTTAATATTTATTTATTTATTTACGATTTCCTCGAATAAGTAGCGGAACTGCCACCATATAGTTTTCTTAAAATAGATAAATGTTACGAGTTTATTTTATTTAATTTAGATTGAATCAAAGTGACAAATTTAATTTAATTTATTTTATTTTGAAATTTTACATCTATCATCAAACTAAAAAATCAGGCTTATATAACAATTTTCATATTAATAATATAAAAACAATCTACACAATTTATATTAAAAAAAAATCAATTTATATAAACATAAAAAAACAATTTAAAGGTTAGTATTAATCGGTCATATCAACAGGTAAGCACCCAATAAATTCACCCCCCCCCCCCTCCCTCATTGAAATATTGAAGTTTTTTTAGCGTTTTGAAAAATCAGTATCGCTCTATATATCTCAAACCAAATCACAGAATTCATATAAGCGAGGCAATTACTAGTCTTTTGCTTAATTTCACTAATTATGATTTCACAGCCTTCTACTCACATACGATATATTGAAGAGAGAATCCGATCTATTCCGTTGAACAGAAAAGAATGATAAGCATAGGATGGAAAATCCTATGAGGTTTGGGAAATAGGGATTTTAGGATTTCTATCTGCAATATTTGTCGAGGATTTTATATAGATATATTTTTTTTTTATATTATGTGCTATACAAATAGGACAATAAATATTTTTTTTTATAATTAAAATATATATACATTAAAATAAAGAGTTCACAAGTCATTTTCGAAACTATAATATAAGAAAGGTAAATTTGATAGAAAATAAAATAAACGGTTCCACGTCAATTCGGCGCGGAAAATTCGGCGCACGACAATTCAGCGCAGAAAACTCGGCGCGGCGACAATTCGGCGCAACGTCAACTCGGCGCGGCGACAAATCGGCGCAACGTCAATTCGGCGGACAATTCGGCGCGTATCTAATACAGTTGCCATTTATTATAAATTTATTAGTATAAAAAAAAAGGATGATTAAATAGAAATGATTTTGAATGTTGATCATATTAATTATTTCTTCATATTTTTTTTACAAAATCAATAAAAAAAAAAATTAACAACCAATATTTATACCGATTTCCTTGCTGGACCAATTTACCACATTATAAGGTAGGGGAGACTGGGGTTAGTCGAACCGATTTTTATAAAATTGGCTATAGCTCCTGGTTTTTTAGATAATATAAAAAAAATATGCTATTATTTATGCCAACTAATGACAAATATCAAGTTTGTGCATAGAACACAAAATATTTTATATTCTAAAAATTATCAGCAAAAGAAACAAAATTGAAAAAATGGCCAACTATTTTTGAAGGCAATGATTTGATATATTTCTAAAAACTTCATGGAAATGATTAATAATTTGTATAAAAATAAATATTTTTTTAAAATAAAAATTTGATTTTCAATAATAATATCTAAAAGTTGATGAAAATAGGTGAACTAGATTTATTTAACTTCTTTTTATTATTTAAAACCTCAAATTTTCTAGGGAATTTGAATTTAAAAAACATTTTAATTTAATTAAAGTAGTGCAGGGGTCAAAAATTGGTATTAATTTATGAATCCGGGCCAAAATAAAAAAATATAATTTTATTTAAGAAATAAAATATTGATATTTTAAAAGATTTTTATATGACAGAAATTTTATTAAAATATATAATCATTTATATGTAAATTAAATTTTATAGCAAAGTTTAAACACTCTATAATTTGGGAAAGTTTTATGAGTATTTATTATATCTAGAAATTTAGAGCTAGCAGGGCTTGCTAAACCATATATGTCAATTATGGCAGTTAATAAAAAAATTACAAAATCTTGAAAAGGCAATTT